TCTGTTCGTGTTTCCTCTAGAAGATGTTCGTACAAGCTTCCCCCGAGTTAGCGATGAGGTTGAATTTGGCTATTTCAACCATAGCTTCAAGGCTTTGTTGTCGTGCCTTCCTTTTGTTTGCTTCCCGTCTTGAGAAAATACTTGCCCAATGGCTTACCTCTCGGATGGAAGGAGGGAGGTCTCTCACTAGCTTCCCCTCTTCCAGTTTATCCTTAATTTCTTCCCATTTGGTTCTGAATTCCGGTTTAAACCACCAGTCCATCGGAGGCTAAATTGCCGAACCAAAAAGTGCATTTGCCCGAGCCTGACATCTACAGTGACCGCAGATTCAACCACGCGGGACATGGTACCGGTACCAGCAACATGTGTGACAAAAAGGAAAGGCAGGCAAGCAGCCCTCATCATTGCAGCCTGCCTGTTCATTCTGTTTGGATTTTTTTTTTTTCGAATTTTCTGTTTGTCTGCTTTTTTTTGTGGGGTTGCATTTCTTTTTCTTTGCTTTTACAGGGCCACGTGCTTGAGGTATCATCATTGGAAAAAAAAAAAAACAAAAAAAAAACGAGGTATCATCAATGAGAGCAACAGGTATTTTCGAATTATGTCTATTGGATCTGGATTCGAACTTAGGGCTGTATTTCAAGAGTTCGTCGGTGTACCAACTGAGGGCATGCTCGAACTCTTGTTCCACTAAGCTCTGGACGTGATCGCAGTCAGATTCATCCAGGTCTGACCGTAATTTTAGTCAGATACATTCCTACTGTGAGTCTGCCCTGATCTATGTCTGTGGGCTCTTTCCTTTGCTTTGTTTCGAATGCAGCTTTCCGCCCTGCTGAGTTGGTATGCAGTTTTTTTTTTTTTTTTTTTTTTTTTTGATATTTTTTTTCCTTCCTTTTTCTTTAGAAAGGGCCACGGCCTTGAGGTGTCATGATTGCACTTCCCTAGCCAAAACGCCGAGAAAGTCGAGAAATAATCTTATGGCAGATGGACTTGAACTCCGGTCTGCATTTCAACATTTCTTGGGTGTACCAACTGAGGAACAGCAGTCCGCCCTGCTGAGCTGGGAGGGCGGTTTTCACGGAAACGACGAGGCATCCAAAAACTTGCAGAGTGTGCCGAGTGCGGTGTGGTTGTCACACAGTGGCACTCTCTTTCAATTGTGGGCCCGCCAGCCCCACCCCCACCAAGCCTCCTCCATGCCTGATCACTGTAGATTTTGGTTTGGTACTTGTCGGCAAAAAAAATGAACAGTACAGGGGGTGATGGACTGGTGGTTTAAATGATTCCAATTTAAGGAGTGAGGTGTTCAACTTAAAAAAACTTTTCCGGGAGAGTTGTCGACTGTTAGAGCCAAGTTCATAGTGATGGGGTTGTGGTCAAAGCCATCATAGTGGGGAATTCTACCTATTATGGTGTCTAGGATCGCTCCCTCTAAGGATTCCGATATAAGAAAGAAGTCTATCCTGGAGAAAGAGGTTTTACCCTGAGCTGTTTTCTTGATGCATGTATAGTTTTTTTTTTGCGGGTTAGGAAGTCTATAGGGGTCTATTAGGTTATATTTTGTTGTTAACTGAGCTAGGGCTGCCTCCGCTGGGCCTTACGAGATTTCATCCGCCCTTGAGATTCTGTCCAACTGAGAGTTCTGGGTTGTGTTGCAGTCGCCTACCAGAATTGTGTGCGTTTGTGGTTGAATTAGCCTCCCTAACTCTTCAAAGAATATTGTTCTCTCCGTTGACGCATTAGGGGCATATAGGTTTATTATTGTAATGTCTTCGCCTTTAAGCGTTAGCTCTACTTTTGTCCATCTACCATCGAATGGATCCGTCGCAGATGATTTCATTTGTAGTTGTTGCGACGCTATCGCTTGGTTGTGTATTAAGGTTAGAGCACCTGCTGAAGATGGTTGTGGGTTATGGGCTATTGCTACTGCTGCACAGTTTTTTAACCTTCTGATGACTTCATTCTCAATTGTTCTATGTGCATCTGTGCTAGTTAGATGCGTTTCCTGTATGCAAACTATGTCTGGGGGGTTGGGACCATTCCAGCCTGTTGTGTTCATCAGACAGTGCCACTTTTCTTGGTTTGTTAGAATAGTTGTTAATCCCCTCACATTCCAGGATTGGATCACTAGGTCCTCTCTTGGTGGTTTCATAGTTTACCTGGACTAGTCTTCCCTTGAATTTATGGAACTCTCTTTAGGTCTCAGAGCTGCTCAGCGTCTCCTCCTCCAGTGGAGTGGGGAGGGAAGGTAGCTCGCTCTCCTCCTGTTCGAGGACACATGATTCCACTAGAGTTGCTAGTGCAGCTGCGTTCTTAGTCATGGTTGTTTCATTCCCCAGTGTTGTGACTGGTAAAGCCTCCATCCACCACCAGGGTTTCCATTCTAAGTCTTCAGAGAGTTCTGTCTTTTGGTCCAAGCGGACCACCAGTGGTCTAGCGTTATACTGTGCGTGATTTTTTCCCTTCTTTGCCCCTGAGGATTCTGTTCGTCCTGGCACCTCTGCCTCTTTCGTTTTGCCAGCTAAACCCATAAGGTTTGGTTCCCTCCCCTTGCTGATCTTTCCTAGCACATCCTCCTTCTTTTATCCCAACTGCCATCTGGGTATTGACAGGTCCTCGTGTACTGCCACGTTCCATTCCTCTGTTACCGGATCTCTCTGGATGGGGATTACTGCTCGAGATGGGAATAGCATACTTGCTTCCTTTTTGGCCCTTTCCCAGAAAGCTTCGTGTGCTTTGTGCTGCGAATCCAGGACAGAAACTGTGCGAAGTTGCATTTCTCTGTTCAGATCTGTGAGACGTGCATTCTGTGCATGCAAGGCCTCGACTTGGATGCCCAGTTGCGTGGTGGAAGTCAGCGTCTTGCCTGATTCTTCTTGCCCCTTTTGTTTCTCTTGTTCAATTAGGAGCTGAGTTGGTTTGTATGCCGGCAGTCTTTTTCCCTTATTCTGTGTTGCCTCCTTCAGTGTGCTTGGGCCGTTCTCCCCAACTTCCATTTCCTGGTCTTCTTTCGTTGCACAGTATTTTTCTGCACAGAAAGCTATCAGCTCCTCTTCTCTTTCTAGAGGTGCGAAGGGATTCTCAGACAGTGGGATTAGCTGTGATGGGTTGGAGATCTCTGCTTTCTACTTGTTTTTCTGCTCTTCCTTGTGTAATATAAGTTGCAGTTCATACTTGTCTTGCCTTCTTTTCTCGAAGAAGTGAATGTATTCAAGGAGTTCATTTTCCTGTTGTCCTGACCATGGATAGCCCTCAAACTTTGGGTGTTCCTGCTCCTCCTTTGTGTCCTCTCTCTCCTTTTGGTCTTCAACGTGTTTCCTTTTCTCCCCCACCACCGGGTTTTTCTCTCCCTCCCCCTCCTTCATAGTTGTGTCACCTACTTCCCCCCCTGTGCTCTCATCTGTCCCTTCTGCCTCTGCTCCCCGTTCGCTGGCGGCTTTTCCTCTTCCCTTTTGTGCCCTTCTGGAGTAGGTTTTTTGTTTGGGTTGTTGTTCCCCTGCCTTTTCCTCTTGCTGGTACCTCTTGACTGCTTCCACCCATTGTCTTTCTGTAGTTTCCTGCACTGTTTGCAGGTTGGCACACAGGTCCCTTTCCCAAATCTCTTGGTTTAGCGTGTCCAGATTTATCACTGGGTCTTTGGTGAAGCATTTGGGTGGCTTTCTTTCTGTTTTGAGCGTTTGCCACCTGCTGTCATACGGGGGGGTATACATCCGGCCTGGGCGTTGGCTCCCGATCGATGGTCCAGACCCAGTCCGGTGTGTCCAGGTTGTCATTGAATACCCAGCCCGCATACTGTGGATCAGGGATGTACCAATATCCCTTTTTGTTCTCTACCTCTTGCAGATTTGCGGTTCAGAGAGGTTTGGGCTTTGTGCTCTCTCTTGTTTTCGGGCAGCTGGCATCCGTGCCCAGGTGACCTCTTTGTCTCCACTTGAAGCATACCGGGTTGGTTTTGCTGGACACTGTGATTCTGATGACTTTGTTTTCCTGAGAGAAAAACCATTCGTCAGGAGTGAAAGGTGGAGGACTGTCTCCCGTGTCCAGTACTACTGTCATCTGATTGTGTTGTGGGGTGAGAAAGTCCGGTGTTGAAACAATCCACTTTGTTTCCCTGAAGTGACCGTATTCCACTTTGTTGTCGTGCATTCCTTCTGGCACATTGTCAAATTGAATCGAGAAATGTTTTTTGATCAATTCCTGTCAGTACCTGAAGGGCGTTTGCTGATAATTTGCCGTCTTTTTCCACGGTTGAACTGTAACCACTGACGAATTACAAGTGAAACACTTGTTTTTCAAAAATGTGGCAAGTGTTTCCTCCATACACAGAACCATGATGACGTTTCTTGTTCTTGGGTGAAAAGACACTCTTGGTTCCTGCCCTTAGATTGGTTCTAGGGACTTCAACTTTTCCAAGATTCATTTTAATTTTGCCTGTCTGTCCAATTCCTGGCTTTTTTTGGAAAAGGTGAATAAGACCGCATGTTTGCTGTGGAGCTCCTCTTGCTTGGATGGCAGCTCCTTGGGGCATTCGTAGATTACCACTTCTTCCTTGTTGTTACCTCCACAATCAATCGTGGAGTGTGACTGTGATCTTGACAAGGGGAGTTTTGGTCTGTTCTGCGAGCCAGTTTTGCGTTTCCATGCCCATTCCTTCCATTGTTGTGTTTGACTGTGATTTGAAAGGTTTACTGCTTGTTAAAGGTGTTACTTTAAAGATAATGAGTGTGACTGTGACAATTTTTCTTGATGACTGTGTTGGAGAGGAGTGGGGGGCCGGGTGGGATGATTAGGATGAGATTGGATTGAGTTGCGAAATGTGGAGGGGGGGAGAGAGGGGGGAAAATCAATCGTGAGCAGTACGGACTCGGGAACTGTGTTGGTTGTGGTATTGAAGAGGGAATGAGAGGGGATGGGTGGGCTCTGGGTGTAAGTTGGTTCGTGTGTGATATAGGTCTGGGTCGGGGTTGGGGATGGGGCAGGGATGGCGTTGGGAGGGGATCCAGATCGGGATTGGGTTGGTTCGAAGTGGGGGTGGGTTGGATTCGAAATCTGATTGTGGGGCGATTGGGGTGGGATCAGGTGAGGATTCGAGTAAGGTGAGGATTCGAGTAAGGTACGGATTCCGGATTATGGTCGGGATGGGCTCAAGGTGGGGGCTTTAGTTGAAATGGGGAGAAAAAATAGTGGAACTGGGGAGGGAACGGACTGAGATGATGGCGAAAACGAGGAGGTAGACCTGTCAGAATTGGGATGGAAAGAGGTTGGTCCGGATCGGGGGGGGTTGTGGATAGGCGTCTGGTGATGGGTCCGATCAGAGTAGGTTCAGTTGTGGGGGGCGTTTTGGGATAGAGCTAATGTTTGGGAAGAGGGAGATCTGGATGCGGCGGTCTGAACTGGGTTAGAATGGGACCGAGAGGGGGGAGCTGCAGTGGAACTGGGTCGAGATTGGGATGGATCCGGGTTGCCTAGTTGGTCGAGGTTGGGGTTGGGTTAGGGTGGGAGCGGATCAAGATTGATTTGGAGCAAGATTGATTTGAAACGGGGTGGGAACGCGTCGTAGCCGAGAGTGGTGTGGGGGAAATTTTGGGATGGGGTAGCGTATTGGGATGGAATAGAGATTGTGGTTGGGGGAGAGATCGGGGTGAGGGGCAAATCTAGATTTAGGTGGTGTGAGAGAGGTAGCGTCTGGGGTGGGATCGCGTCCGGATTTGAGTGAGAGTTGTCGGGGTGTTGTCTGGTGTCGGGACTGGTGAGTCCCGAATAACTTCCCATCACTCTAGAGACTGAATATAGACGAATTGCGCACAACAGAAATCTGGAGTGAGGACGCAGGAGAGAGAAAAGACAAAGGATTAGCCCACAGGAGGGAGTGATGCCCTGGGGTGAGAACCACAGGAGGGGAAAACCAGCGACGACACGAGAATAAGCGCAGGAACAGGGGCATATAGGACGTAGTATGAGGCCGGGAGGGCCGTTGGAACTCAACAAGACTAAGGCCAAAGGACCTTCGAACCAGCAAACGCGGCGCGGCAGCGACAAAGGAATGAGGGAGTCGAGAGAGGGACGGCCCGGAGGCCGTGGGAAACTGAAGAACGAAGGCCCAACATGGGAGCCTCGGATTGGAGGCCCCGCGACCAAAGAAACAGGGGCGCGCAAGGCGCAAGAAAGACAAGGGAGAGGGGTCACTATGGGGCGGCAAAACGCCCAAGGGACGTGGGACACCTCGGGGAAAGGCACCCGGGGCCACGTGGGACTAAGGAAAAATAATGGCATCCGGGGCGAAATGTGTCGGGGACCACCCGCGGGACTAAGTGTCGGGGACCGCCGAAGGGACTAAGTGTCGGGGACCACCGATGGGACTAAGTGTCGGGGACCGCCGGTGGGACCAAGTGTCGGGGACCACCGACGGGACAAGTGGCGGGGACATATGAAGGTCTCAAGAAGAAACGGCGGCACCACGTGAGGGAAAATAATAAAGGCAAGGTGCACCGTCAAGATCGACATCTTGATGGCCAAGAATATTAGCACCACTAGTACAAGCACTAGCGGTAGCAAACGGGAAGGCCAAAAGGAAAAGAAAAAAACTTGAAGTAAGGCATGGGAGCAATCCGGAAAATCTCGGATCAACCTCCCTCAAGAAAATAGAGTCAAAAGAGACCCCATGTAAAAAATAGGCCTCCGGGAGAAAATCGGAGTAGGAGGGGCCACTGTGGGAGAAAAATAGGAGTAAAAGAAAGCTCCCATGGGCATGAGAAGGCCATTGTTGCAGTCCGAGATATAACTGCACCTTGGGCATAGGAAGGGTCAAAACTAAGAGGAAGGGGTTAGAAAAGGGCCTTAATGACACTTGACACTTGGCATGCTATAAAAAAAAAAAAAAAAAAAAAAAGTGGAAGAATAAGACAAAAAGAGTGAGAGGGAGTGAGTGAGTTGGCCGTCAGTAGGGACTGGCAGGTTCCTACTATCCAAGAAAGGAGGAAAAAGAAAAGAAAAGAAAAGAGAAAAGAAAAAAGAAAAGAAAAAGGCCTTAACGGTAAAAAACGGTCACTTGGGGAGATACATCCATGACCAGATTCATTCTGGAATATGGCTGTTGCAATTGACTTTGATTTTCTTTGACTTTTGCAGAGAAAATCAAAGAATATCAAGGCCCCATAAAACCGAAATAAAACGGATTACATTGGGGAGGAGAAACACATGTTTTAGGTGCATCCGGAGCCAATATTGAGCCCGGATGCACTTAAAAATTTAACGCTTCATTTTCTTTTGGCATGGGGCAAGTTGTGGGGCCGTGGGACTAGGAAAATAGCTATGACTGCAGTCCGAGAAATAATGGACTGCATGGGGGTGCCTAGGCTAAGGGAAAATGAGCCATGGCAATCCCGAAAGGCTAGAAAAGAGCAATTTCGGCATGGGGCAAGTGGAGACGATAAACGACAACCGTGAGATGAGATTTCACGGCCTAGAAAAATCGGCACACATGTAGAGATGATGGGACCACCAAGGGCAAGGGGGTCCCAAAAATAAAAATGGGACACCATCCGGAATGTTGCCGGGGACCAAGTGGGTCCAAATAATAAAAAGTCGAAAAACGGGACACGCGTCGGCGGGACCGCCGGCGGGACAAGAAAATGGGACTAGTATGGAGGAAAGTGGCGGGGACTTGGGATATCCCAAGGGAACCATGAGCAAGCACAAGGAATAATTGTGCAAGCAAACGGCACCGTCGAGATCAAGGATCAAGACGGTGGGAAATATTAGCACCACTAGTGCAAGCACTAGTGGGGGCAAGTGGGAGAGCCATAGGGAGAAAAGAAAGTAAAATAATGATATTGGGAGGGCTGCCCAACAGTCCGAGATATCTCGGATTAGCTAGGCATGAGAAAATTAAGCCTCAAGAGGCTCAACATGAAAAAAAGGTTGTCCTTGGAAAATCGGAGCAAAAGGCGTTCAAAATAGGACAAACGGAGGCATAATGGAGCCCTCTAGGAACATGGGGGTGCCATTGTTGAAATCCGAGATATAACGGTCAAGTATTAGCCATGAACCTGACCTTGAATAAGGCCCTAAGGCCTAGAAAGAGAGTGAACAACAGTTTGACACTTGTCACAACTGAAATAAAAGAAAAAGGAAGAAATATAAAAAAAAAATGAGGGAGAATGAGACAAAAAGGAGAAAAGAGTGGAGGAGAGTGCCGGCCTATTGGGACCTGCACAGTAGGGACTGGCAGGTCCCAACTGTGACCTCGTCCCTCCTAGAATGAGGGAGGGCAATCCGGATTGCAGAGATATGGTCCTTGGGGCCATATCCCAATAAAATCTGAATTAAAAAAAAAAAATGAGAGAAAATGCAAAAGAGAAATGACCGTTTTTTTTTTGGACCATGGATCTGAGATCAGATCTCATGGTGGAGAGAAACTAGCCGTTTTGTGTGGGCCAGCTCAAAACGGCTAGCTCCGGAATGAGGTGGCAGCCCAAAATGGAAAGAAACAAAAGAGGGAAAGAGACAAAACTGTGCATTTGGCCCAAAAAGAGAACCAGATGCACCAAAAATTGAAAAAGTGGACTTAGGGGCTCAAAATTGAAGCAAGGGCTACTTGGGGGTGACACGAAAAATTGTCGGCCTTGGATCTTAGCCAGATCGAAGGCTGAAAATGCGCCGCTGCATGGAAAAATATCTCGGGCTACCAAAAATGGGGTACAAACTGAAAAAATCGAGAAAAAGGCCCACAAGGCCTTTTTCTCTCAAGTAAAATTGCCCCTTGGGCATTAGGACCCAAGGGGGCAACATTTGTGAGGTGAAAAGGAGGCCGAAGTAGGCCAAGAGGCTTGGGTACCTCCGGAAGGGCCTAGTAGTAAAATTTTGCCTTGGGGGTACCTCGGTTCACCTCAAGGCACATGGGGAGGCCCATGGGTTTGCCAGACTGCTGGCTTCAACCTACAAAAGCTGGGAATTCAGTCAGCCACTTTCACAATTGCATGAGGAGTGCCCATAATGCCCGAGTGAGTTCATAGGAGCACTCTTTCACTTCGAGAGAGGAGAGGGGAACCCATGCCAGTTAAGGAGCTTGGTGGAGGCCATGAGCTAGGGAGAGGAGCTCTAGAGACTAGTGGTAGTGAGGCTGGCCCTAGGGAGGTGATGCGCCATAGCCCCTGGGTGTGAGGATGAGAGAGAGGTTGGAGGGAGTCCCAGTTGCCCTCCTAGAGGGGAGGACTCCATAGCTACGGTGATTGAAACTTGTGGTAACTTGGGAGGAAGTGAGAAAGAGAGGAGAGGGGCTTGAAAAAGGAGGAGGCCATAGGCAAGAAGGTGTTTTGTGCAAGGAGGAAGAAGCCTCATCAAGATTGAGACTTCATCTCCAAGACATTAACAAGGTGGGTGGAAGGAAGAGGATGCTTCTTCTTCTTCTTCTTCTTCTTCTTCTTCTTCCTTCTTCTTCTTCTTCTTCCTCTTCTTCTTCCTTTTTTCTTCTTCTTCATCTCCTTCTTCTTCTCCTTCTTCCTCTTCCTCCTCCTCTCCTTCTTTTTCTTCTTCTTCCTCATCGTTTTCTTCCTATTGGGCTATTCAAACTCTTGTTTTTTTTTACTCACACACTAGTAGGTAGTGCTCCGATTTTTGTATGAATGACCTCATGCTCATTACTTGTGATTTGGACTAGTATAGACCTTGCTTTTCACTCACATGCTAGTAGGAGATGCTCCGATTCTTCCATGGATGATCTCTTGCTCAAATCTTGTGATATAGCCTAGTGTAACTCTTGCATTTTACTCACAGACTAGTAGGTGATGCTCCGATTCCTCTATGAATGATCTCATGCTCAACACGTGTGATTTGGGCTACTCAAACTCTTGCATTTTACTCACACACTAGTAGGTGATGCTCCGATTCTTTCATGGATGATCTCATGCTCATTACTTGTGATTTGGACTAGTGTAGATGTTGCTTTTCACTCACATGCTAGTAGGAGATCCTCC